ACACCGCGCTTCCCAGCCTCCCGCTCCTTGTCGATCGCAATTACTTGCTTTAGAACATGCCCCCGTACTCCGTTGAGGTCATGGTCCAGTAACGCCCCAAGGATCTCCCCCCCTGCACTGATCATTGGTCGCGAAGACTCCTCCTTCTCCGGTAACGCCAGCGCCCACTGCACTCCAAATAGAATTCCGCGGTCGACAAGAGTGCGGAACAGGGCCATTCGGGCGGGTAGCTGCACGTTCTTCCCCATGACACACAGCTGCTGTATCAGCAGGACGACTTCTCGCCGGAGTCTGATGTCGTCGTCCGAAAGTTCGTCCGGAGGCGCGAATGCGTATGACGCCGACCGGGCATGGCCGTTCGTCTTCGCACTGGTACCCGCGGAGGTGTCGACGTCCATCTCGTCCGACTTCCTCATTGCCTTCTCTGCCTCTATTTCCCCTGCCTCCTTCTCCTTTTTCCGCCCGCCACCCCCGCTCAGCATATCCTCATCCACGTACAGGCCGACTACCTCTCGCAGGAATGACACATCGCTCTGTACATGCGTGATGATGTCGATCTGGTTAAACAATATGCACGAGTTCAGCACGTTGAATGTCGAGTCATCCAAAGCCCGTGCAAGTACAACATCTTTTAGAAATTGTAGTCTGTATGTGTGGTGGATCTTCCGTTGGATGACCTCGTCTCGGATCGCGATGGGCTGGTGGAATTGCGAGGTCTGTTGTAGAAATTCCCGGTAATTGGCCTTGTGCGTGGGGAATTCGGGGTCATCTGTAGTCGGCCAAGGAGGTCATGCACTGATGAGGTATACATAAATTTCAGAAACGAACATTCGAGGATGCCCACTACGCCAAAGAAGATATCGTCCGCAAGGATGTGTTCGTACATGCTGTGGTCATTCATCATCACTGTTCGCAAACGTTAAGTTGATGGTCGAGAGCAGCAACCTAAAACTTACGGATAGTCTGCATACAGGAGCATATTGCATGCAAGCTCTCTATGTTCTCCAAATCCTCGGCCGTATGCATAAGTTCAATCATGGACTTGATATATTCCTACAAACACGAATAAATATTGACTGGTACTTCGATGCTGTAGAGTGTTACAAGACCGCATATATTGAGCTTACGTACCTCATGCTGGATGTATTCGCATATTCGTTCCTTGACGGCCTGGGTCTTGGACAGAGACTTGATCGCACCTTCGATTTGTGCCATATTTCCTAGCTGTGGCCGTGGTAAATGGCCGGAGCGAATGATGCTAGCCGTTGTGATTAGTGGCTCAGGCCCTATCAAGGGCGAGGACGACCCTATAGCCGCTGGCTCATCTGCGCGAGCCAGAAATTAGACGGCATCGTAACTAGCTAGAAGGAATCGACGTACCTGCCGCGTTCATGTGCCTTTGAACCTCGAGGATGAAATTCCAAACCTCTGAACAGCCTTCGGGATCCTGAAAACTGAGAGCGTAATCGACACCATCGGGTTCTGTCCACACGATAAGCGTATCTACAAATTTGGATCAGGACGGGCGCACGGGAAGAAGTTTTGGCTGGTGGATATTCCAGCGAGGAGTACACATACCTTGTTGCCGTTGATACACATCGTTAGAGCGGATGGCAGTGGAGAGAATGACGTTGTTATAATTGGCTTCGGCGCGTGCGAGTAGGAGTGCCTCGTTCGTTTCTTCTGAGAATTGGCCGAAGCAGAAGGCGGTGCCTTGGTCAACCCATCGTGAGCCGATCAACTCGTATACCTTCAGGAATAATCAGCATGAGTAGCGTGGCCGCGTGGGACGAAAATGGGCGAAATGCGTGGAGCGAGCGTCTGGGATGTGTCGCGGGGGCGTGGGCACTCGATCTCGTCCACGTCAAAAAGCGTCGAGAGGGACCGCATCACGCGCAATTTTTCAACGGAAGGCAAACGTTGCGCGAGCGCGGGAGTTCGAGACAAAATTTTATAGGGCTGCGAGCATTAAGACCTTTCACGTACCTTGACGCGTTTCGACTCGTGCTCGTCGTCGTGTGCCCACTCGTGCCCGTCCTCTCCACTCCCCGTGGAGTCAACTGACCCTAGCGAAGCGTCCGATACCAATTCCGCGCCCTCTGCCTCTGCGTTCTCAAGTGCGCCGTTGTGAGCCTCCCCGAGAATCTCGCGTGACTGGACATCCTTGTTGTCCTGATCCGCGAGCCCGTTGGGCTGCTTCACGGCAGTGGGGTCGACTTCATTTGAGGGACCAGCCGATGTTGCATCGGTGACGTCTAACTGTACGAGTGTTGGTGTTGATGTTGGTACGGCTGTATCTAGGGCGGTCGTGGCGGACGAAGACGGCGAAAATTGTGCAGACAGACCAGCAGCGTCGTCGCCGCTCATGTCCAGGAGGTCTTTTATCTGCCTTGAAGGAGGGAAACGCAAGGCCAGAAACGAGGAAATCGGTAGAGAAAAGAAGCGGTGAACGCGAGGGAAACGGTGTGAAACTGACGCCAGCGTTCAACACTCGGCAATCTCCGATTCGTCGAGGTGTTTGTCCCCGCGCAAGTCCTCCGTTGATTTTTTCCTCGCTTCCGTTCATCTTTCGTTACAACTTTCATCTTGCGTTTGATGTCTTACATGTACCTGGGCCGACGCAAGATGGTACTTGCGATGCGTTGGCTGTGCATCTCGGCGGTTAGTGCTCGTGCATGGGCAGGGCTACGAGTATCTTGTTGACTGCTAGATGTATGTCGTACTATGTCATCGCTCCATGAAGGACTCGGTCGGTTGATTTCTCCAAAATTGCTGGCTTGGACTCGATAATGAATTTGCGGCCCGGCCAATCCTGCTTGATTCACAAGCTGTAACCAAATAGAACACGGGTGGCGAGAGAAAAGTTCCGTTTCCACGTCGATCTTGCTTACATCTTTCGTTCGGTACGTTGTCCGTTTGAATAATCGCATCTGCTCTGCCCATCCACTCGGTCTCTTCAAAGCCTTTCATATCTATACGCATGGACGAGCATGTCTTGGGCTCGCAATGCTTTCCACTACCTGTCCACAGAGTTCACAGAGATACGCCAGAATCCAGTCCTGCTCAAGCCACGGATGATGGTCTCTATCTTCCTATGCTCCTTCGTGTTTTCCTTTCTTCTGGGGTCGCCGATGCGCGAACACTACTCCAAAAATGCCACGTTCCGGGGCCAATCGACTACTCCACCTCATAACTTTTCCAGCCCAGAGCAAAGGGTCGGGGGATTTGTATACGACCACATAGTGCACGCTGCCAAAATGTATACTCTGATTGAGGGGTGCGGAACTCCTGCGACACTGTTTGAGGAACATGGGTACGCTGTTCTTTTGTCGTTCAATAAATTAACCGTAACAATCTATAGGATTTTGGATTTGATAGATGCTGAGCGCGGTGTTACCAGTGTGTACCAAGAATATCCCGTCTGGGAAGGGGTTTCGAAAGCATTGCAGGAGGCCCTGGGTATACGGCGAGAAATTACTTCTCTGCGGGACGAATTTGTTAAATTATACGAGGAAAATGGTGTCGTCCGTGCTGCTGTGGGTGCTTTTGAATTCTACCCGTTGAATCGGTGTCTAACTAGAGGATAGCTTGATGACAGTGTATTAGGATTGCACAAGGTGCAAATGCACCGCCAGGCATTGGATGGTGACACCTCGCTCTCGACCGTCAGCCGTCTCAAATTAGCTCGGGACCTAGCCGCATTGCTTGCCGCTATCCCTCGCGACCTGCTCACCACCTCCATCGCAGCCTACATGTCGCTCCAGCCCACGATCCAAGGCGTATTGCGTGAGATGGATCGCTTCCAGCAGTACAACGACGAGGCCACTCAAGATGTCTTTGCGGAGACAGCACGCCTCGAGGACGAGCTGAGAGAGCTACCGTGGTATGATGCACATATATTATACCGCATTTACGGCTCAATCTCCAGAGCGAGACCTCTTCGGAACTACTTGGCCTTTCTGCATGATGTGCAGAGAAAGTTCCAAGGCATCGGTAGCACCGTGGCGACACTCAGAGACAACCTGGATGCCTTGGATCGTTATGTATCTTGGTACAAACAACTGCCGGTGCGTTTCCCTTGTCATGTCACAGCCTCTGCTGAGCGGGCATCATTCGCAACAGCTGCATGCGACGGACGGGCCGAGCCGCCGATCCTTGAGTGGCGAGGTCAGCAGGGCCAGCAATGCACTGGCCAAACTGCTCGGCATGGTAGAAACCGAGCGCCAGAACAAGGACGGTGCCCACGGTGCTGTAGGGGGTCCGAGAAGGGTGGCGAACCCAAATATTCATGATGCTCGTCTTCAGCCGCATCTATCTACGCCGTGGGATGCTGGACCGGATCTCGTCGATGACGACCACTTTGGCGAGGAACTTTGACCGGGCTGCGCCGAGTCGGAAAGGCGTTGTTTAGTGGATTGTGTTCATGTACGACGTGGGTACCTGTATCGTGTAGGTCTTGTCTAACATCTATGTCAATCAAAAATACGCCGTCGCTCTCACCGCCCTATGAAAAGGTTTATCATCGCACTCTTGTGACGCTGCAGCGTAACAATCCCCGCGGCTACTCGACGCGCGCATGCCCAGATCTAGGCATGTCTTTAGCGAATATTTCTAGACACAAGCCATACTTCCCTTCCGCCCGTCGTAGGCGCAATGGCGCATTCCTTTCTCCACCCAGTATTGCCCATATTTTCGGGCAGCCGGCTCGGGTATGATGCCCTCGGAGTCACTGGAGAGCAATATGCCGGTGGTAACTCCAATTTGTCGGTGCATCGACTTTGTTCACCGCCATAAATTAGTCGCAGATAATAAATATGGCATCCTTGTGTGCGCTGTAGCATGTACTCTTGGCCATAGTAGTATTCAAACAACATTGCGAAGGCAATAATAGTAATATGGCTAGTGCGCTGGTCTAGACAGGGGCTCCAAACGCTAAATGTTTAAATTTTTACTGAACGCCACTTGGCGGAATTGGCGTCCCCTCGGGTGCCACTTGTTGGGCCCCCGTTGTCTAATGGTTATGACGTCAGACTTCTATGTTTTCTATAGCGATCTGGAGGTTCCGGGTTCGAATCCCGGTGGGGGTTTTTGCTCATCCTATATTTTGTTAGAAGCACAGAGGAGCAAAGGAGCAAAGCAACATAGCAAAGAACCTTTTTTGAACAAAAAACAATTTGAAAGATCCAGTTTCTGAAAAAGTTAGCCAAACATGGTCTTTGCAGTCAACACACAACACAGTGTGCAAGCTTGTTCTCTGAGTCCTATCCATGGTTCTCCACTGCATTGAAAACAGCTGCTGTGGCGCTGAGGCGTCTATTTAGAATGGGATTTCATCATACTTATGTGCATTTTGTCTTGCTTAAATATACACTACTGGTCTGTCAAATATTGAATAGCATTGGTTTCACAACAACTGCACGACTTGGACACACCAGACATCTGCTGTAACGACCGTGGGAAAATGAAGCACGCCGGAATTGCACCAGCCTTAGCCACTGATCTATCATGCCCCTATTCCTAGTCTGTTACAGCGCCTAACGCCCGCTACCGAGGTGGACAAGGCCTGGCCGGCCGCGCTAGGTTACCTGTAAGGGACCGATCCCTTACATACCCCCTCCAGTTCAATGACTGCCAGTATGGGGTAACTTTTCTACTTTCGAAAAGTGGCCTTAAGCAGGAATTGAACTCCATGCTTCACCAAATGTAACGACCGTGGGAAAATGAAGCACGCCGGAATTGCACCAGCCTTAGCCACTGATCTATCATGCCCCTATTCCTAGTCTGTTACAGCGCCTAACGCCCGCTACCGAGGTGGACAAGGCCTGGCCGGCCGCGCTAGGTTACCATATGTAAGGGATCGGTCCCTTACATCTGCTATGTGCTACTAGTATGTGCACCATTGTGGCCTTAGACTTACACAACTGCAAAGGGACAGACAACTCTCTCCCAAACTTACATAGGCATTACAAATGCGACAGCTTCCATCTCTCGGCATTATAACACTTACCCTTGCCATCTGGTTTCAGTTGTCATTGTCGCGGATGCTCCACCAATAAATGGTGGCGGAAACAACACTCAAGCCATTACCCAGTGCACAACCATCTCACAACCATTTGCGGCGTCCCCTCGCAATTTGTGGACAACCCAAATTACTCTCATTTCTTATGGATCATCGACGTCGAGCCCAATGGTCTATCAAACCACTACCAAGGACTGCAAAATGATGCTCAAAAACAGCACCACATTTCTGCAAGGGGCATGGTGTAGCCTAGCCCCTTCCACCGTTTACATTGTTATTCACTTTCAGATTCCAATGTGAGCTTCTGAAGTTCAGCATTTTCCGCATACACCTTTCGCCCAGTCCTTATCTGCTTCTGCACACATATATATACCGCTCTCTGTGTATTTTCCCCCTTTGCAGAATGAATGCCAGTTACAGCTACCTCTTGCTCTCTCTCTCTTTTTCCCTCTCAGCTTCCCTCACTTGCTCATCTCCAGGAGTCCAGGTTTCCAAGCTCTCACGCTCATCCTTGACTTCTAGTTTCCTCTTCCGGACTCTGGCCGTCACAGTTTCTCGCTATGACATTGAGGTATACTGTTCTAATCATCTGCAGGCAAAATGCGTGTGATTGCTTTCTGAGGGCCGCTGAGAGCTACATGGACTACAATCGAACACGCCCACTCCCAAAGACTGGCCAGACCAAGGACCCAAAAAACTGCTTCTATGACGGGCTAGAGAGAGTGATTTTCTTCACGTCCCATTTGGCACGGCCAGCACTCATGCGTGGCATCGTGGCAATGTATTGCCTGGATCTAATTGGCATCACCTTCATACTCGGATTCGGTGCTCTCATTCTGCAAGCGATCCCCGATGCCATCAAGCGTGAACAGCTTTCTCAAGTCATGCAAAAGGCCAATATTCTTAGGCTTGTCCCGCACACTCGAACTGCATACAAAAAAGATCTCGAACGCCGGCACATCGGATTTGAGCATGGTGCCCTGACCGTCGCCATCGCGAAGCGCTTCAAGGTTCTCTACGATGATGTGACTCCCACCATGAAGAAGCGGTACTGGGACCAGCATAGCACCGCAACCGTCGCCCAATTTTTCAATGTCTCCAACGAGGAGGTGACACTCGCAATGAGGACCGAATACTGGGACTGGCGTGGTACGGCCACCGTCGCAAACTCCGGAGGATGGGGAAGTACACAAGGTGCATCTGCTCGGCCACCGTCGCAAACTTCTTTGATGTTCCCGCCAATGAGGTAATACCTGCACTGAGAACAAATACTGGGAGTTGAGTGGCATCGGATTCCTTGGCCTTGCCCGGGTAGCGTTGACACGACGGACAGGTCGGGTCCCTTCGGATGTCGAGCTGAAGGAGGAACTTGTCGCTAACTCACAGAAGTATACCACATTGAGACAATACTGCGGCTTGCTCTGCCTTGCCAAGCTCCATCCTACAATTACTGCTGAGACTGTGCTCGCTCCAGTCCACCTCAACCTCATAGAGCGCTGTTTCCAGCGACGGGTCAATGTGCTCAAGTTTGACAGCCTTCGCCTGACCCGTGTCTCCGTGAATCCCGTTGAACTGGTCTTCCGCTCCTGTGATACCACACAAGTTCAAGAAAGTATTTTCGACACGATGGGCTCTGTCATGGGCCAATTTGTTTGGCTGGCTGCTGTCCTTGCTGATCCGCCTTCCGTAGACAAGTTCCCACTTGCATTCACGGGGAGATTTCATTTCTCTAGCATCGACCACGCGTTGAATTTATTCGACGTCATCCTCTCAACAAATATTTCTGTCCTGTCTCGCTTGCCCGACTGTGGAATAACCCCAGCCACCGACCGATTCTTTATCAAGCAGTCGCACAAGATCTCCTGGACAGCAAGTACCTTCCCTGGAGTGACATCTGGGACCCCCATCTTACTTGGAAAGACTCTGTGCCATCACACGGCTACTGGGATTTCGCCGAAATCACTTACCGTCCGGTGAACAGCAAAGAAAAATCAATGACCTCGTCCTTTGCGTACATAACTGACACGAGGATTCTTGACAACAAGGGGTCCTCGCAACCGTTCAATCCCACCAACATGACTCCCTTCAACGAAAGGAATTGACTTTTCTAGCGCGCTAGCATGAAAGTGCCGAAGAACGCGTATCATGGCGGCATGGCGTGCTTGATTCCGGAATGCACTGCAAATGGAATCATATGGTATGAACTTACACTGTCCCCACGTCATATTTTCTCTATCTAACCCTGGGGTGTTGAGGTATCTTCTCCTCGACGAGCCCACCCTAAGCGCTTTCAGGTCAATGCTAGCACCTTCGACTGACTAGACCTAGGAGAGCCTTGACAAGCAGTCCAACAAGCGGCTGTACGACCTGGGTAAGCAATATTGTATCGAGCCGAAACTTCACCAGCGGTAAGCATTCTTTGTCGTTTGTCAACAGTATGGAATACTAACAGAAACTCATTCTACAGATCACTTGTTGGACTGCTTACGGCTCCTAGATCATCTAAAAGAGCGGCCCCAACACCTGGTTCCAGCACCGGCAATATCGCGCAGCTGCTGGCTACAGAGTGTGCCAAGAACACGCCCGCAGGAACTTCATTGAAAGTGTCTACTTAGACTTTGGCTGAGTAGTGCGTTCTCTGAAATAATCCATATTATAGATTTCTGAATCATTAGGTAGAATAGATGTATCTATGTAGCTCTATGCAGTATGCTAGGATTACTATAAAGCACTAAAAGTAAGTACTGTATAGAGTGTGGGTGGTGTTGGGTAGAGTTAGAGCCTATAATCTCGGACCTACTAGTAGCTATACACCCTATAAGACTATAAGCCACCAGTATACAGTGCTAGACAGTGCTATCAATTGCGGGGCCATTTTGCTGATGGAGGCATGTCAGTGTTTAAGGATGGGCAACAATAGAGCACAAGCAGATGCACCTTGTGTACTTCCCCATCCTCCTTCAACATCACAGAGGCCACCAGGTTCGAATCCCGGTGGGGGTTTTTGCTCACCCTATATTTTGTTAGAAGCACAGAGGAGCAAAGGAGCAAAGCAACATAGCAAAGAACCTTTTTTGAACAAAAAACAATTTGAAAGATCCAGTTTCTGAAAAAGTTAGCCAAACATGGTCTTTGCAGTCAACACACAACACAGTGTGCAAGCTTGTTCTCTGAGTCCTATCCATGGTTCTCCACTGCATTGAAAACAGCTGCTGTGGCGCTGAGGCGTCTATTTAGAATGGGATTTCATCATACTTATGTGCATTTTGTCTTGCTTAAATATACACTACTGGTCTGTCAAATATTGAATAGCATTGGTTTCACAACAACTGCACGACTTGGACACACCAGACTAGTATTTTTTGTTCTCAAGAACTTCATCCACTTCTCAAAAACTCAAAAAAATAAGTACTGCGCCAGGCCATTTCAGCAAGTTCTCTGAGTCAAGGCTCAGTGGGACTGCAGGCATGGCTCATGTGGCATAGTGTGCACTTTCCTTCAAAGTATTCTATATAGTAGGCATCAAATGGTTGGGGGATACAGGTTCTCCAGGGAGAATGGCTCAATATGTGCAATACTTTTTTTGGCACAGTATGCCAGGGGGTTACTTACACTCTTCTTACCTACCTAATCCAGGCCACAATCTACAACACTGCCGCTACTATGTAGTTACGGCAGCAGTTTATAGCAGACAGCCGAGACAAAGTGATACCCAAAATGGAAGGTAGTGATGAAAGCGAGGCCGTCTCACGCCCGCGGACTTCGAATTCAGATGTTGATCCAGGGTGTCGAATGCCCCGGGTCGATGGGGGCAAGTGTGTATACTACATAAGATTTAAGATTTATTGCGGTGTAATGTGGTGTGGCATCGAAAGCAATTGCTGGTATAGTGTAGAGTGTGGTATCGTGGGACAACAAATGCAGTTAGCAATAGTACACGAGACGAAGGGGACCGAAAGCAAAGGGGGTCGTCGACGAGAAGGTCCATGTTATTTCTTCACCGCACGCAGTTGAGCGCGCAGGTTACTGTTTTCCGTCTGCATCGAGTTGAGCTCGTCCAGGAGTGCT